AGTTCTGTGGCATCCTGCTTCTGGGATCCTGGTTATTGAGTGTTCTTGTTTCTCTGTTACATGACTTATTGATTTTGCGACTCTCTTTTTGCACAGATCAGGAAATCTTTCACTTTTTCTGTGAACTTAAGCAGGTGATCCAACTTGCTTGCTCTGATACCTTCCTCAATGACCTGGTAATGTATTTGTCAAGTGGACTTCTGGGTGTTGTTCCACTCACTGGTATCCTCTCCTCTTACTCTAGAATTGTAGCCTCCATTTTGAGAATTTCATCAGTGAGGGGCAAGTATAAAGCATTTTCCACGTGTGGGTCTCATCTCTCAGTTGTGTTCTTGTTCTATGGTACAAGCCTTGGTGTGTATTTTAATTCTGCAGCTTCACAAAACTCCAGCACAGGTGCCATAGCCTCAGTCATGTACACGGTGGTGATGCCCATGCTGAACCCCTTCATCTATGGTCTCAGGAACAGAGACATCAAGCAAGCCCTGAGAAAGCTCTTTAGCCGAGAAACATTGTCTGCATGTAGGATTCTTTGTTTCAGGATAAAGACTTGAGTAACAGGGCTTAAAACCCTAGAAGAGCTTGATCATGATATTTGTATCAGTTCATAGGCTGGAAATGTGCAGTTTATATTCTTACCTTATTAGTTAGCTGAAGTTTTTCATACATCACAAGCAACTATATTTTTGTAGCTCTTTAAAGCTTATTTATTTTGAAAGGGAGAGCATGAGTAGGGAGAGGCAGAGGGAGATTGATGGAATATCCCAAGACATGTCCATGCTGTCAGCGCAGAGCCTGAAATGGGGCTCAGTGTCACAAATTGTACGATATTGACCTGAACCATCATCGAGAGTTGGACTCTTATCTGACTGAGCCACCCAGGAACCCCACTTCTGCATTTCTTTAAAATTGTTTAGGACTCTCATTAAATTCCATTGCATGGAGTTTTAGGAAAAAAATGCTCATGTATTCATTTTGAGAGAGAGAGAGAGAGATGGAGAGAGGGAAGGAGGGAGGGAGGGAGAGGGCTAGTGCAAGAGAAAGAGAGAGAGAGAAAGAGAGAGAGAGAGAGAGAGAGAGAGAGAGAGAGAGAGAGAGAGAAAATGAATGAACGAATCAGAAGTAGGCTCCCGGCTCTGAGCTTTCAGCACAGACCATGATGCAGGCCTTGAAACCATGAATTGTGAGGTCATGACCTGAGCCAAAGTCAGATGCTCAACCAATTGAGCTACCCAGATGCCTCCATTGCATGGGTATTTAAAAACATATACATAATATAGCAAATTGAGTACTTATAATGTGATAGGAGGAGACGGTGGAGTAAATGTGAAATGGGTTTTCTCTGGGTTGAAGACAGGTATCTTTTAACATATCTACTTCTGGAGGAAAATCATTGAACCTATCACAGGTTATATACAAGTTTCAAGGGTTTTATGTCAATCCTCCTTGGAAGGAGATCACATCCTGAAGAGCCAAAGCACCTGGAACCTTGTGTGATTAATTTACAATAATCCACCTTCATTAGGCAGTCTCTAATTTTCCCTCACACATTCCTAAACATAAATTAAGTGGGAAGGTAATAGAAATTGCAACCTCTGATTTGTCAGGCCTTGATGATGTCATTCTTGGTGATTTTCCCAGAGATGAGTCATTACTTTTCTTTTAATGTTTTGGTAGGCAGCAACACTATCTTGTGATATCCCTCAACACCTCCTACCATACAGGCTCTTCACAAATGTCAAACATAATATGGCTTTTCTGCCTATTGCCACCTCCATCTTTTCTAATGCTGCATCCCAGAAATTAGCAGTGAGAGCAGGATACAATTATGACCTAACCTGTACTTTGTGAGACTGAGTAAGATGAATGTCTCTTGTTCACCTTCCCCAGAGTTCCCTACTTGGATCATAAGGCATAATTGTAATTTTCTATTACCTGATTCACAGTTTTCCAGCTAAAGGTCCACAGGTCCTTTCAAACACTAGTATGCAGATAAATGTTCATGGAACTATCTCTCAAAACCAAAGACAAAAAGAAACAGGGAAAGCAAGAACAAAGGAAGAAAATAAAAACAAAGGGATAAAGAATATTTGCCACTTTCCCTGGTATAATTCCTCTCATCTTGTCCAGTATCAAGTTATCAATTTTAGTTCAGACCACAGTCCTCATGAACCATTATAGGCTAACCAGTGCCATCACCTCAGAGCCTTTGGGTTGTGTTGGAGGAAAATGTAATGTCATTGTCATTTTACAGATTTCTGTCCGGTGTAAATGGTTCCATCAATTGAAGATCTGGGTCAGTGAACAGTCTCAGGACCGATAGTCAGGTTTATGACCCTTCATTGTGGTGACTCAGGTCAATCTTTCCTTCATGATTATTAGAGTTGGTTGTTTTCTTGTTTTTGTTTTTGTTTTGCTTATTTTGTTAGTTACACAAATCAGTTCTGCCATTAGTAAGCTTCCCATCAGTTTTGTTTCTTGGAGACACCATGATGAATTTGCCATTTGCAAACATCCAGGTGGCTCAACCAATGTTGATGAGAATGATTAATTCTTATGCACTATGAATAGCATCCCTTGAATGGGTTTTGACTGCTGTCAGTTCAGGAGGGCCTGAACTCAGGACAAAGGCATTTCAGTTTCAGAATGTCCATTGTAAGTTTGTCATATGGGAGAGAAGCTCTGTAGAACCTGTCAAAGAAGATATTATTTCCCTACCCAAGCTATTTCTCAATGATCTTATGAATTTTATGTTGTCTGAAGTTTTAGTTTGGGAATACTTTAGGGTTGAGGTATTGAATCACACATGATAAACCCATCACAATGCCCTTGTCTCCTTGTACTTTGGATTACTTCTTCTACATCATGTTAAGCTATTTATGGCACTGAAAAAGTTTTAAGTTCATTTATTTGCTTTGAGAGAGAGTGAGCATGCCGACAAGGGACAGAAAGAGGGAGAGAGAGAAAATCCCAAGCAGGCTCCACACTGCCAGTGCAGAGCCCCATGTGAGGCTCAAACTCACAAACCATCACATCATTACCTCAGCCAAAAATCTAGAGTCTAACGCCTAACTGACGGAGCCACCCAGGCACCACCGAAGTTCTTTTAGAGTGTGACTCTTTTGTCATACTTTTTGGTCAGAGTAAAAAAATATATAAAATTTATCATTTTCAACATCTTGAAATACACTTAAGTGCCATTAAGTACTTTCTCAATGTTGAGCTGCCACCACCTCTATCCATCTCCAGAACTTTCTCATCTCTCAACCTGAACGTTTTTCTCCTTGAAATCCTAAGTTTGTATTGCCCCTCTGCATAGCCCCTGTCTCCCACCAGCCTACCTTCTCCGTCTCAAACTGTTTACTCTAGGTACCTCAGGTAGATGTCATGGTGTGATACGGGTCCTTTTGTGTCTGGCTTCTGACACTTAGCCTTGTGTTTGAGAGTTTCACCCATGTTGTAGACTGTGCCAGAATTGCCTTCACTGTAAAGGCTGAATGCTGTTCCATGTCTGTGTTCACCACACTTTGTTCATCTGTGAGATTGTTGATGGACATTCAGGTTGTCTCCACACTTTTATTCCTGTGAATCAATCTGTTATGAAAATTGGTGTAGAAATATCTGTTCTGGTGTAGAAATATCAATGCTTTACATTCTCTTGGGGCATGTAAGTAGGTATATAACCAGACGTGAAACTGCAACATCAAACGATAATTCTGGGTTTACGTTATTGAGTCACTGGCACACTCTTTGCTTCAGCAGCTGTGTCCCTTTTTATTCTCATCAGCAAAGCACCACAGGGTTCCAATTTGTCCATATCCTCGCCAACACTCATCTTCTGTTTTAGTTTTCAAATAGCCGTCCTAGTGTGTGTGGAGTGGTATCACGCTATGGTTTTTATTTGCATTTCTGTAGTGATTAGTCATGTTGTGCATCTTTCATGTGCTAAGTAGCCATTGCTCTATATCCTTGAGTCCATTGTCTTTTCCTTTTGTGGTTTTCAAAATTATTTATATTTATGTTTTCATTTTTTATACATGTATTTTTTATTTTTTAAGTTTATTTGTTTATTGAGAGAGAGAGAGAGAGAGAGAGAGAGAGAGAGAAATCGCACGAACATGAGGAGCAGAGTGGCAGAGAGAGAGGGAGAGAGAGAATCCCAAGCAGGCTCCACGTAGTCAGTGCAGAGCCAGATGTGGGGCTTGAACTCACAAACTGTGAAATCGTAGCCTGAGCTGAAACCGAGAGCCAGACACTCAACCAACTGAAGCAACCAGGCTCCCATTAGTTTTACTTTTTAAAATTTATTTAAAAGTTTCAATTCCTGTATAGTTAACATACAGTGTAATATCAGTTTCAGGTGTATAATATGGTGCTTCAGCACCTCCATAAAACACCCAGTGCTCATCACAAGTGCCCTCCTTAATCCCCAGCATCCATTTCTCCCATCTTCTTCCTTCCCCTCTGGTAACCATAAGCTTCTCTCTTTTTTTTCTTGTGCTCATTTGTTTTGTTTCTTAAATTCCACATATGGGTGAGATCATGTGGTATTTTTCTTTCTCTAACTGACTTATTTTGCTCAACCTTATGCTGACTAGCTCCATCCAAGTCTTTTCAAATGGGAGGATTTCATTCAGTTTTATGGGTGAGTAGTATTCCATTGTATGTCTGTACCAGATCCTTATCCATTCATCTATCAATGGACACTTAGGCTGTTTCCATTATTTGGCTACTGTAAGTGATAGTGCTAAAACCATAAAGGTGCATTTATCCCTTTGAATGAGTGTTTTTGTATTTTGGGGGTAATGACCCAGCAGTGCTATTACTGGATTGTAAGGTACCTCTGTTTTTTTTTCCTTCCATGATTTTATTTAAATTCAAGTTAGCTACCATAGAGTGTACAATTGGTTTCAGGAGTCGAATTCAGGGATTCGTTGCCTGCATAGAATACACGGTGCTCATCACAACAAGTGCCTCCCTTAATGCCCATCCCCCATCTAGTCTCTCCCCCATCCACCTCTTTTCCAGCAACTCTCACTTTGTTCTCTGTGGTTACCAGTCTCTTATGGTTTGCCTCCTCCCTGTTTTTATCTTAGGGTATTTTTTTCCCTTACTCTAAACTTGTCTGTTCTGTTTCTTAAATTCCACATATGAGTGTAATCATATGATACTTGTCTTTCTCTGACTGACTCATTTTAGTTAGCATAATACTCTAGTTCCATCCACGTCATTTCAAATGGCAAGATTTTATTCTTTTTGATGCTAAAGCAACAAGGGTCATTCTATTTTTATCTTTTGGAGGAAGTTTCATACTGTTTCCTACAGTGGCTATACCAGTTTGTATTCCCCCCAGCAGTGCAAGAGGGTTCCCCTTTCTCCACTTCCTCACCAACAGTTTTTATTTAATATATATTTTCAAAAGTTTTATTATGGAAGTGTGGATTCATTGTATGGTACACCTGAAACTAATAGGACACTGTGTGTTAACTAACTGGAATTTAAAGAAAAGTTTTGCCTTTTTTTCCTTAACTTTAGAGAGAGAGAGTATGAGCAAGTGGGAGTGAGGGGTGAGGGAGAGAGAGAATCCCAAGAAGCTTCCACGGTAGGTGCAGAGCCTGACTTGGGGCTCAGTGCAGCAACTCTGGGATCATGAACCAAACTGATGTCAAGAGTCAGATGCTCAATCAACTGAGACACACAGATGCATCAGTACTTCCTTTCTAAAATTGAGTTGTTTGTTTTTTAAAAAGAATTCTTGAAATTCTGTACATACTTTGATATTAATCTATTATCAGGTGTGTGATTCACCAGTAGTTTCTCCATTTTGTGGGTTACCTTTTCATTTGGAAATAGTGCCCTTCAGTGCACAAATATTCTTGATTTTGGTGGCATAATTTTTTCTCTAGTTGCCTGTGTCTCTGGTGTTATATCCAAGGAATCTTTGTCAAATCCAGAGTCATAACGAGGTACCTTTATGTTTTCTTCTACGTGTTTATTTACAGTTTTATTTCTTATGTTTAGATCTGTGATCCATTTGGAGTCATGTTTGTAGATGGTAGAGCGAAGGGTCATTTCCATCTTTTTGAATGTGTATGTCCAGGTTTACATCACAATTTCTTGGAAAGAGTGTCTATTTACCATTGAAGTGTACTGGCAGTCTTGTCAAAAATCATTCACTTATAGCTATGAGGATTTATTTCTGGGCTTTCTCCTATCCCATTGAGTTATATCTTTGTTTTTATTGTTGTTGTGAAAGCTGGTCATTTAAAAATTAAATTGTGGTAACTCTGAATATTTTATTTCTCTCCTCCCTACCATGATTTTTATTGAAGTATACTTTACAGAGTTGTATTAGTTTCAGTGTAAAATGTAATGCATCAGCAATTCTATGCACTATTAAGTGCTCATGGAGATAAGTGTACCCTTAGTTCCCTTTATCTATCTCACCCAACCATGGCCACATTTTCTCTGACAACCACCAGTTTGTTCTCCGTGTTAAAAGTCTGGTTTTTTGTTTCTTCTTTTTTCCATGTTTGTTCATTTGTTTTGTTTCTTAAATTCCACATAGGAGTGCAATAAAATGGTGTATGTCTTTCTCTAACGGACTCATTTCCCTGAGCACTATACCCTCTAGGTCCCTCCAAGTTGCAAACTTACATAATTTTTATTATTATTATTTTTTTGCTCTTCAAAGGGGTCCATTGATTCCCTATTTTTCCATCTACAGTTTTCTTAGACTATTGTAGTAGCAACAGTCCGTGTCTACCATTGTCTCAGGATGAGTTTTCCACAGGGAGAGCTTGATCCTGGACATCCCGTCGTGAGATCTGCACTGACATTCAGATATTTTCCTAAATTCGCGTCAAGCTGACAGCCAAAACATCTGCATCTCTGCTCTCTGAACGCTAACTGCTCAGGGTCATGTTTGAAATGTCATACTCGCCCCCTGATGACTGGTCCATCAAGTATGAAGTATTTCCCGCATTGGCTGCCCAGATACTTCCTGTTGGAGTGCTCTTACCCCTTCACCCACACCAAGACTCGGGACAATTAGTAGGTTGTTTGTGCAGTCTTCACTCATCTCCCCTGGAAGAGGTGACCTGTGTTTGTATTCTCTTCATCAGGTGTCAGTGTCTCTTCAGGTTAGCACATTCATTTATTTTTACGTCCTTGCTCTGTGGAGACTGTGAACTCCTCAAGAGAAGGGACCATTCTTACACCTTTCTTCCTTCCTGGGATGTAGTTTAGTGCCTACTGTAAAACAACTGCTAATGAAGTGTTAGTAAGATGCTTGAAGAAGCAAATGGTTGAGTGATGTTAAACAGACATTGCCTACATTGAAGGAGAAAAGAAGAAAGCTGTGGAGGCTGGGAGTTCCATGATTGTCAGCCAACAGAATGAGTACAGATGGGAGAAAGAAAAGATTTAGGGGACACAATTCTCCAAAACCAGAATTGTATACTTATGATGGGGTGCTCTGACTTATTAGTGAGAAGCTCCAAAGACAGGGGACCTCCTTCTGGGATAAGAGAGTTTAATGGGATAAGAGACAATCAGAGAATGCCAAGGCTGTGTCCCAACACTGGGACAAGTTTGCATTCTATCTTTCTCTCCTAGCTCCAAAGACCCAAGCCTCTTACAGGGACAATAGACACAATATTATTTCATTAATGAGACTCATGGGAGTTTATTCCCTACAATTACAAAAATTGAAAATGCCTTTGCTGCACCCATGAAGGTAACTCCTGTAATCTCAGGTGATATGAGCATAGAGCTGTGTTTTCTAGAGACTTCCTGACTGGGGCCATGTCTCTTCCCTTCCTGGGGACATAACTCCAACCACAGCAATCATCCATGGGAGAGACTCGGTCATTGATTTCACATTGCTCAGTGCTAACATATGGGTGAGCCACAGAATCTTCAGAAGTGCTGGAGAAATGTGTTATGACTGGAGGGACCTCTTGTAGCTGATGTTATTTTGAGGGCATCGACAGGGACAATAAGTTAAGGAGAGTTTAGTGATGTCAAGCCCTGCCCCTAAGGCTTTGATTCTGGAGGGAAACTCCAGATATACTAAACCATCTGTCTTCCAGAGTTAGTGCTTCATCAGTGGGCCTTCATGTTTCAACAGTCTTTCCTCTGTTTTCATTGCTGGTCCTTCCATTGTTGGGAGTGACTGTTTACTGTTATTGAACCATTTATTAATTGTCATTCAACAAGCATTTTTTTCCCAGCAATTAATTTGTGGTAGACACTACTATTTATTCTATGAATAGCTAAATGACTAAGACAGTGTTTCTTCTGTCAGGGTACTCATTGTGTAAACAGAGTGAGAGATGTAAAAATGAATAAATGTGATAATGAGAGGTTGCACTGAAATCTGGGGAAGTAGATCCCCTAAAGTTACCTCTTTATTTTATTTGTAATTGTTTTCAAAAAAGAAGAATCTTTCATAGGAGTCAGCGAAGGCTTTGCAGAGAAGCCTATAGGTGCTGAGCCTTGAAGGGGGTGTTGGAGTCTTTCCGTGGGGAGGAGGGGTGTGAGCAGCCCAGAAACAGCAGGGGAAGAATTTTAGAGATTAAAGTAGAGTGGGAGTTGTGCTGATGGGAATTAGAAACACTTCTTACCGTCTGATCAGCAATCATAAGCATAGTGTATAAAATGAATCCAAATGGACCTGGCTGGGTAGGCAGTAGTCAGATTAACAAACAATGTTATGTTTTGGCTAGAAGGTTGAAATTGAAATCTGAAATTAGTGAAGTGTAAGTGCAGGTTTTATGTCAGGGGACAGCTATGGCAGGTCTTCTCTATGGAAAAACGACCCAGGTTATTGTGAGGAAGAAACTATTGCTGCATTCAGAGTGGGAGAGTGTTACTGAGGGATAGAAACAGCACCAGGCACAGAATGGGTCTCGGAGGGGTGGAAATCGTGAATCCAGAAATTCAGATGAATTTTTTCATTCATTCTTAAATGTTTACTAGAAACAATGCAGATACCGTATAGTCATCATTTCATTGAAAAATTTCAAAAACTGTACGTGGTATGATTATTTAATGTTACTGATGGGAAGAGTTACTGACAGCAGTGACACTGGTCATACAGGGCACCTACCAGACTCTTTGGGACAATCTCAGAACACGGTGTTTCCAAAGATTTTGCATTTCATTAATAATTTTAGTTTTTAATCAAATTTAGTATTTGAGTAGTTTTATATTTACAGAACAAACCTGCTATGATCTTTAGAGGGTTCTCCCAAGCTCCCTTCCCAGTTTCTGCACTTATGAACACACTCTCTCTTACACCTGTTACTTTTAATTCTCATATCTGCTGAGCTTCCACACGCAGTGACTTTTTCCTCAGGCTTCCTTTGTTCTTGAAGCAATTGATAGCTTTAGGAGTAGTGGTCAGGCATTGCATTAAAAAAATCTTCTTTTGGACTGGCCTTATTATTCTTTCTTTTCATGAGTAGAATGGGACATGGATGTTGGACAAGAAGACTAGAGAGGGAAGGAGGCATGTTCATTCCCTGACAGCAAGGGTTCAGACTATCAACATGACTAACTCTCATTGGTGTTGACATTGATATCCTGGCAGACACGGTGTTTGTCAGATTTCTCTTTCCTTTTCTTTCCATCCTGTCCTCCTGTAGGGACTTTCTATGGGCAACCCCATCTCTAAGTAGTGGTGGTTATCTTCCACCTCCTTAAGAGTAGAATATTTCTGTAAACCATTGGTTCTCTACTGCACTTGAGATTGTGTCTTCAGTTATTTACATTATATACTCTGTGTTATACCCCAATACTACTTTATTTTGTTGCTCAGATTGTTGCAGCTGTGGCAATGGAGAGCTCCTTCAGTTACTGATATGTCCCTTTGGCATGTCTCCATCATTCTTGGCTTTTTTTGGGTGGCATTTCATTACTGTCTTACAGGAAAAGATGCTTCAGATTCAGCTTATTGTATGTTCCTCTGGAGTTCTACAGCCAGTCATTTCTGCAAGGAGCCCTGTTTTATTTTATTGGAATATGGGATTAGATTCAAGATCTTGGTACCTGCTGTACTTACTTGTTGCTACCAGGGTCTCCATATTCCCTCAACTGACCTGGCAAGGAAACATATGAGTGTTCACTACTCAGTGTATATGCAGACATCCATACATGTGTCTATATGTAACCCTCTGTATTTTTATATAAAAATACAAAAGCTAAAGTAAGTTCATATTTATGGCTCCAAACTAATTTATTACCAAAGGACCATAAGAGCTACTCCACCTTGCTTACATGTCAAGTCCCAAACCAAATGTGATCACCTCGTTCCCACCATTTACTGTCCATTTCCTTATATGTTCAATTTCAGTGCAGGAGTATCAGCATTGTTAACAGTATCCTCTGGGACACATTTTATCAAGAATGGTGCAGTGTTTCTGTGCAGTTTCTTTCATATCCAGTTTTACAGACTCTTCTCTTTTCCCAGATCTTGTTTTTCTACACCTTTTTTGCCCACCTGCTTCACTGAGAGTGTGTCATACAATTATAATATAGTTAGATTGTTTTGTCACATGTACATTCCATTGTAGGATTCCATCTGTCACCCAAGTTTTATGTTTGCATTGATTTATATTCTGCAACTTTACTGAATTTGCTTATTACTCTAACAGTTTTTCTTGTTTTTTTTAATGCTTCTTTATTTTATTATTATTTTTAAAAATTTATTTAATGCTTATTTATTTTTGAGAGAGAGAAAGACAGAGTGTGAGTGGGGGAGGGGCAGTGAGAGAGGGGGACACAGAATTTGAAGCAGGCTCCAGCCTCTGAGCTGTCAGCACAGAGCCCGACACATGGCTCAAATCCATGAACCTTGAGTTCATGACCTGAGCTGAAGTCGGACACTCAACCAACTGAGCCACCCAGGAGCCCCAATGCTATCTTTTTAAACAAAAAATAAGGTCACCTTTTTGTGAAGAGAAACAATATTACTTCTTCCATTCTGATTTTGACGCTTTTTGTTTCCTTATTTTTCTTTCCTTTTTTTGGCTAGTTGCTCTGTCTGGAACTTGCAATATACCACGTTGCATAAAAGGTATGAAAAAAAAAACATGCTTGTCTTGCCTTATCTTAGAGGTCACTCTCAATGTTTCACTTTGCAGAATGGTTTTAGAGGTGGGTTTACATATATGACCTATTTTGTGTTGTGGAAGTTTCCTTCTATTCTTAGTTACTTGAATGCTGTCAGTTAAGGATGCTCCATTTTGTCACATTTTATTTACCATCTGTGGACATACTTATGTTACCCTTTATTCTGTTAATATGGTGTATTACACTGAGGGAGTCTTATTGCCTTCCTGGAATAAATGCCATTTGGTCATGATGCATAACCCTTTTCTACACCATGATCAAAAGGCTGCTATGCTTGAACCGGTTCACATGAATATACCTTGGGATTATTGCTCTCTACTTTTCTTTTCTTGCAATGTCTTTTCATGGCTTTGGTATCAGTGCAATCCTGGCCCAATGGAATAAAGTAAGAAGCGTTTCCCCTTTGAATTTATTTGGAAGACGTTGAGAAAGATTGATGTTAGTTCTTCTAATTCTGTGTGGTTCTTGTGATGCTTAGCCATGCCTGCTCCATTGGAAAGCCTACACAAAATGCAATTTTCCTAGAAGAAAGATGCTCTTTGACTTATGGTGTAGCCTGTCCCCTGCTTTCTAAAAAGTGGTGCTTCACTCTCAACAATAGCCAAATTATGGAAAGAGCCTAAATGTCCATCAACTGATGAATGGATAAAGAAATTGTGGTTTATATACACAATGGAATACTACGTGGCAATGAGAAAAAATGAAATATGGCCTTTTGTAGGAACGTGGATGGAACTGGAGAGTGTGATGCTAAGTGAAATAAGCCATACAGAGAAAGACAGATACCATATGGTTTCACTCTTATGTGGATCCTGAGAAACTTAACAGGAACCCATGGGGGAGGGGAAGGAAAAAAAAAAAAGAGGTTAGAGTGGGAGAGAGCCAAAGGATAAGAGACTGTTGAGAACTGAGAACAAACTAAGGGTTGATAGGGGGTGGGAGGGAGGAGAGGGTGGGTGATGGGTATTGAGGAGGGCACCTTTTGGGATGAGCACTGGGTGTTGTATGGAAACCAATTTGACAATAAATTTCATATATAAATAAAAAAAATAAAAAAAATAAACAAATCATTATTATCTTTGCCATTAAAAAAAAAAAGTGGTGCTTCAGCTACAAGAGTATACAGTACCACAATAATGGAGAACTCTCTCTCTCCCTACCCTCACTTTTGTGTGTGTGTGTTTGTTTGTATGTGTATGTGTGTATAGCTCAGTGAAGTACACACCCATAAAGCATTTACAGCAACCCGAAGCTGTCTTATGCAATAGAAAATGCAGAAATTAGAGCAGCTAGAGACGTAGAGTAAAGGTAGAGAGAAAGACCGAGAATTACGGAGGAATGAATTATGTTCCATTAGTATACATTACATAAAATGTATCCTGTTTTAGACAGACATCATATATAACATATAAATATAAACACGACACTGAACGGTAGTGTCCACTGCCTTAGAATGTTTCTAAAGATGCAGGAGGCTTTGAGCTTTTCTCTCTTGTTTGCATCCAACACGTCCTCCCATTGTGTTACCTGTTCTGCTCACAATTTTTCTTGGATGTTGCCTGATGGTTGCGGGTGAGCTCTTGACTGAAGGCCTTTGTGCATGTGATGTATCTGCCTTAACTGGTTTTCTCAAAGTTATCTGCAAGGTTCATATATCCCTTAATTTTCCAGGTCAGAAGCCCCTAATCAGACTTGATACAATGGCAGGTTTCCCTTCAACTTAGGACTCCTTTGTCCTGAATTATTTTACTTATTAGTTGTAACCACCACTTGAAATATCATTTATTCATTTTTAAATAATCTATTTTCCTCCCTCTGACTGACACACACACACACACACACACACACACACACAAAGACTTGGTTTTGTTCAGGTCAAACACACGTCACTACTTTTTGCAATGCTTTTGATAATACTTGTCACAAGATAATTTGCTATTTTGTTGGTGAAAAAAAGGTCTCAGGAAGTTTATGGAGGAGAACGTTGTTTTGAATAATTGTTTTGATTAGGAACAAGAATTGTGAACAGTTTCAGCCTCACAGAAAACAGGGAGCATGTGAGAGTCCCTGAAATTTTCTGGTACATATTCGAGATTGGTAGGGAATGTGTAAGAATTAGTGAGTGCGTCATGTTGAAAACACAGCATTTCTTTTCATTCTTTGATCACTGCTGATGCCTTTACAAGGATCTTGTCTGTTCCAGCTGTTTTCATCAGTTACATGGAAGGAAGAAATCAAACTCATGTTTCAGAATTTATCCTCCTGGGACTCTCAGACCAGGGGGAACAGCAGTCTCTGCTCTTTTGGGTGTTCCTGTCCATGTACCTGGTCACCTTCATTGGGAACCTGCTCATGATCCTGACCATTATCACGGACTCCCGCCTCCACACGTCCATGTACTTCTTCCTCTCCAACCTGTCCTTTTCAGACATCTGTTTCACCTCCACCACCGTCCCAAAGATGCTGCTGAACATCCAGACGCAGAGCAAAGTGATCACCTATGAAGGCTGTCTCAGCCAGATGTACTTTTTCATGCTTTTTGGAGTATTAGATAACATACTCTTGACAGTGATGGCCTATGACCGGTTTGTGGCCATCTGTCAGCCACTGCACTACATGGTCATCATGAACCCCAAGTTCTGTGGCATCCTGCTCCTGGTATGCTGGTTATTGAGTATTTTTAACTCTCTATTACATGACTTGCTGATTTTGCGACTCTCTTTTTGCACAGATCTGGAAATCTATCACTTTTTCTGTGAAGTTAAGCAGGTGATCCAACTTGCTTGCTCTGATACCTTCCTCAATGACCTAGGAACATACCTGGCAAGTGGATTTCTGGGTGGTTTTCCACTCACTGTCATCCTCTCCTCCTACTCTAGAATTGTCACTTCCATTTTGAGAATTTCATCAGTGAGGGGCAAGTATAAAGCATTTTCCACGTGTGGGTCTCATCTCTCAGTGGTCTCTTTGTTCTATGGTACAAGCCTTGGGGTGTATCTGAGTTCTGCTGCTGCACAAAACTCCAGAGAAAGTACCATAGCCTCAGTCATGTACACAGTGGTGACGCCCATGTTGAACCCCTTCATCTATGGTCTGAGGAACAGAGACATCAAGCAAGGTCTGAGAAAGCTCTTTAGCCGAGAGACATTCTCTGCATATGGGATTCTTTGTTTCAGGATGAAGACTTGAGTAACAGGGCTTAAAACCCTAGAAGAGCTCGATCATGATATTCGTTTCAGTGCATAGGCTGACAATCTGCAGTTTATCTTTCTACAGTATTCGGTTGCTAGAAGTTTTTCATACATTGTGAGCAACTATTTCTTCTGTAGATTTTTAAAGTTTACTTATTGATTTTGAGAGAGAGAGCAAGAGTGAGTGGGGGAGGGAGAGAGAAAGATGGAGAGAATATCCCAAGCTATGTACAGGCTTTTAGCACAGAGCCTGAAATGGGGCTCAATGTCAGAGATTGGGCTCATGACCTGAACCCAAACCAAGAGTTGGATGCTTAGCTGACAGAGCCACCCAGGCACCCCTCCTCCAGAAATCTTTAAAGCTGTTTAGGCCTCTCATTAAATTTTATCACATGGATTTTAAAATTTTTAAATAATTAGTTATTTTTTGAGACAGAGAGAGAGTGGGGGGTGGGGAGAATAGGGGCAGAGAGAGAGAAGGAGACACAGAATCCGAAGCAGGCTCCAGGCTCTGAGCTGTCAGTCCAGAGCACAATGCAGGGCCTGAACCCATGAATTGCAAGACTATGACCTGAGCCAAAGTCGGATGTTGAACCAACTGAGCCATCCCAGTGCCCGCATTGTATGGATTTTTAAGAACGTATATATAACATAGTATGTTATATCATGTGATAGGAGGATATAGTAGAGTAAACGTGAAATGCTTTTTTCTCTGATTTGAAAGCAGTATCTTTATACTATATACTTATATATATACAGGTATATTAAAGTATCTGCTTTTGGAGGAAAATCATTGAACATACCAGAATTTATAGATGAGTTTCCAGGGTTTTATGCCAATTCACCTTGGCAGGTGATCATATCTATAAGAGCAGAGCCACCGGGAACCCTGTGTGATTAGTTTACAATAATCCACATTCAGTATGCAATCTGTAGTTTCCCCTCACACAGTCCTAATCATAAATTAAGTGTGAAGGTAACAGAAATTGCAGCTCCTGATGTTTCAGGCCTTGATGGTGTCAACCTTGGTGATTTTTCCCAGGGATGCATTATTACTTTTCTGTTAATATTTGGTAGGCGGCAGCACTGTCTTGTGATTTCCCTCAGCACCTCCTACCGTCATAGGCTCTTCACAGATCTCACGCACAATAAGGCTACTCTGCCTATTGCCACCTCCATCTTTTCTAATGCTGCATCCCAGAAGTTAGCAGTGAGAGCAGGATACAGTTATGGGTGTAACCTGTGCTGTGTGAGACAGAGTGAGACCAATGTCTCCTTATCACCTGACCCCAGAGTCCCCCCCTTGGATTGTAGGCGATAATGGTAATTCCCTATTACCTCACAGTTTTCCAGCTAAAAGTTCACAGGTCTTTTCGAACACTAGTAGGTAGATAAACGTTCATGGAACGATATCTCAAATGCACAGACAAAAAGAAACAGGGAAAGCAAGAAAAAAGGAAGAAAATAAAAACAAAGGAATAAAGAAGAGAGCTTACTTGTAGCATTTGCCAATTTCCATGGTATAATTACTCTCATCTTGCCCAATATCAAGCTACCAATTTTGGTTCAGACCACGGTCCCCATGAACCATTATAAGCTAGCCTGTGCTATCACCTCAGAGCCTTTGGGTTGTGTTTGGAGGAAAATGTAAAGCATTTGTTGCCATTTTACAGCCTTCCATCAGGTGTAAATGGTTCCATCAATCGAGGATCTGGGTTCGTGAACACACTCAGGACTGATAGTAAGGTAAAGATTATGACGCTTCATTGTGGTGACTCAGGTCAATCTTTTCTTCATGATCATTATAGGTGGTTTTTTTTGTTTTGTTTTTTTTGTTTTTGCTTATTTGTTTTAGTTACATGAAGTAGATGGCTCCTTAGTAAGCTGCCCATCATTTTTGTTTCTTGGAGACATCATGATTAACTTGTCATTTCCAAAAATCCCTGTGGCTCAACCTATGTTGATGAGAATGGTTAATTCTTACACACGATGCATATCAAACCTTGAAGGGGTTTGGACTGCGGACATGGCCTCGGGCAGTTCAGCAGGGGCTGAACGCAGAACAAAGACATTTCAATTTCAGCATGTCCATGGTAAGTGTATCATATGGGGGAGAAGCTCTTTAGAGTTTGTCAAGGAAGACATTAGAGCTCTGCCCAAGCTATTTCTCAATGCCCTTATGAATTTTATGTCATCTGAACCTTTAGTTTGGGTATACTTAGTAGTTGAGGTATTGAATCACACAAGATAAACCCATCACCATGCCCTTGTCTCCTTGTTCTTTGGATTTCTTCCTCTACATTTTATTAGGCTATTATGGCATTGAAATTCTTTTTTTTTTTAAAGTTCATTTATTTACTTTGAGAGAGCGAGAGAGAGCAAGCTGGGGAGGAGCCGAGAGAGGGATAGAGAGAGAATCCCAAGCAGGCTCCACTCTACCAGTGCAGAGCCCAATGTGGGTCTTGATGTCACAAATTGTCAGATCATGACCTGAGTCAAAATCTAGAGTCAGAAGCCTAATTGACTGAGCCACCCAGGCACCCATGAAGTTCTTAGAAAATACGTCACTCTTTTTTCATCCTTGTTTTTCAGGGGAAAATATATATGAAATTTATTATTTAAACACTTTGAAATATACTTATGTGTCATTAAGTACTTTCTCACTATTTAGCAACCACCACCTCTGTTCGTCTCCAGAACTTTCTCATCGTCTCAAACTGAACTTCTGTCTCCTTGAAATACTAAATTTGTATTGCCCCCCTGCTCAACCCTGTCGCCCACCATCCTACCTTCTCTTCCTAAAACTGATTACCCTAGGTATCTCATATATGTGTAATTGTATATTATTGGTCCTTTTGTGCTGGCATTTTTCAGTTAGCATAATGTTTGTGAGGTTCATCTGAGTTATAGCCTGTGTCAGAATTCCATTTATGTAAAAGACTGAATGATGTTCTACTTTCTGAGTTCACCACACTTTGTTCATCCGTGAGTTTGTCGATGGACATTTGGGTTGTCTCCATATTTTGGTTACTGTGAATAAAGGTGTTTTGAAAATTGGTGTACAAAAATCTGTTCCGGTCACTGCTTTAAATTCTACCTGGACAGGGGTGCCTGGGTGGCTCAGTCAGTTGAGCGTCCAACTTCAGCTCAGGTCACGATCTCACGGTTTGTGGGTTTGAGCCCCGGGTTGGGTTCTGTGCTGACAGCTCAGAGCCTGGAGCCTGCTTCAGCTTCTGGGTCTTGCTCTCTCTCCCCCACTCACATCTGTCTCTCTGTCTCTGTATAAAAAAATAATAAACATTGAAAATTAAAAATAAATAAAAATAAATTTTTTTGGGACATATAAGTAGGTACATAAGCAGGAGTGAAACTACTGGATCAAATGATCATTCTGTGTTCACGTTTTGAGGAGCCAGCACAATGTTTTCTACACTAGCTGTGCCACTTTTCATTCTCATCGGCAAGCACCACAGGGCTGCAATTTCCCCTTATCCTCACCAACAATTATTTTCTGTTTAGTTTTAAAAAATAGCCATTCTAGTATGTGTGTTGTGGTATCACATTATGGGTTTGATTTGCATTTCCCTAATGATTAGTCAAGTTGGCCTCTAAGTATCCATACCTATATCTTCTTTGGAGAAGTGTCTATTTGAGTCTATTGCCTTCTTTTTCTTTTCACCATTAATTTTGTTTTCTAATTTATTTTAAAATGTCATTAGCAGTATGGTTAACATACAGTGTAATACTAGTTTCAGGTGTACAATGTGGTGATTCAGCACTTCCGTCCATCACCCGGTGCTCATCAGGACAAGTTTGCTCCCTAATCCCCAACATGTATTTCACCCCCCCCCCCCCCCCCCACATCCGCTCCAGTAACCATCAGTTTGTTCTCTATAGTTAAGAGTCTGTTTCTTGGTTTGCCTCTCTTTTTCCCCCTTTGCTCATTTGGACCGTTTCTTAAATTCCACATAGGATCATATGTGGCATGGTCTCTCTCTTGAATGATCCACACTCGCTTATGAAGACCCTCTAGCTCTATGCACATCATTCCAAAAACAAGATTTCATTTTTTATTGGCTGAACAATATTCCATTGTGTGTCTACATGTCCCACATCTTTATTCATTCATCTATTGGCGGACACTTGGGCTGCTTTCATATTTTGGTTATTGTAAATGATGCTACTATAAACATAGGGGTGCATGTATTCCTTTGATTTTTTTTTTTGTACTTTTTTTGGTAATGACCCAGTAGTGCAATTACTGGATTGTAAGGAGGCTTTATTTATGCCTTGAAGGAACCTCTATACTCTTTTCCACGGTGGCGGCTCCAGTTTCTATTTCCACCAACGATACCAGAGGGTTTCATTTTTTTCCCAAATCATTGCCCACACTTATTGTTTCTTTTTTTTAATCTTTTTTTTTTTTTAAGTTTTTATTATGGCAGCATTGAGTCACTCTATTGGACACCTGCAATGAATATTACACTGTATGTCAGGTAACTGGAATGTAAATAAAAGGGTTGCCTTTTTAAATTGAGTTGTTTGGGGCTTTGCTGTGCAATTTTTGACATTCCTTATATATTTTGTATATTAATCTATTACCAGATGTGTGATTTGCCGATCTTTTCTGCCTTTCGTTGGTTGTCTTTTCACTTGGGAGAGTGCCCTTTGATGCACAAATATTTTTAATTGTGCCCAAACACTTTTTTCGCTCGTTGCCTGTGTCTTTGGTGTTATATACAGGAAACCATAGTCAAATCCAGTGTCATGTAGATGTACCTCTGTATTTTCTTCTAAGTGCTTGCAGTTAATTTCTTTATGCTTCAGTCTGTGACCCACTTGGAGTCATGCTTGTAGATGGTGGCTGGAAGGGCCTGCTTCATCTTTTTGCACGTGGATATCCATGTTTTCCACCACCATTTCTTGGACAGGCTGTGCGTTTACCATTGAACTGTCCTGACACACTTGTAAAAATCATTCAATTGTATGTATTTGACT